AAAATCTTTAAAAAAAAAAAAAATTAAAAAAAAAAAATCAGAATGTTTCAAACAGCCAGGCTCTGAGCTTTACCATTTAGATCACTTATTGGTAAACTTTTTCTGTAAAGGACAAGACAGTAAATATCTCAGGCTTTGTTGGCCATCCCGTCTCTGAAGCAACTACTCAACTCCCACAGTGCAAAAGCAGCCATAGACAGTATGTAAATGAATGAGTATGGCTCTGTTTCCAAAAAATTTTACAAAAACAAGCAGTGGGGCAGATGTGGCCAACCCCTGATTTAGATGAAAGGATTTATCTGGTAATAACAAAAGGGACTACTAGTAAGTTTTAGACCAGGTTTGTCTTTTACCAAGTCTGATACTTATTAAAAAAATTTCAATGCAGGGGCGCCTGGGTGGCTCAGTTGGTTGGGCGACTGCCTTCGGCTCGGGTCATGATCCTGGAGTCCCGGGATCGAGTCCCGCGTCGGGCTCCCGGCTCAGCGGGGAGCCTGCTTCTCCCTCTGACCCTCTCCCCTCTCATGCTGTTTCTCTCTCAAATAAATAAATAAATAAATAAAATCTTTAAGAAAAAAAAAAATTTTCAATGCAGTAGTATCCAAGACTGTGTTCTTTAGGGGCAATTCTGAATTTTAAAGAAAAGGATGATATTGATCCTTATGGATACAGAATAATCTCAATGAAGGATTTTGAAATTTATTACAGAAATCCAGGGCACATAATTTCATTTTGAAATGTTGCAAAGCAGATTCCACACACAATATTTGTTACAGACCAAAATTCCAAGTAGTGACTCAAAACTTTTCAGCTGGGTAACTCTATATTTTATTTAAACTTTCTACAAAGAGTTTAATGCTTAACTTTCCAGACAAATGTTTGTTGAATTAAAGATAATGTCCTGAGATAAACATGAATAAAATAAGAAGAGAATATCATAAGGGCGCCTGGGTGGCTCAGTCGGTTGAGCATCTGCCTTCGGCTCAGGTCATGATCCCAGGGTCCTGGGATCAAGCCTCGCTTCAGGCTCTCTGCTCAGCTCAGGCTCTCTGCTCAGCGGGGAGCCTGCTTCTCCCTCCCCCTCTGCCTGCTGCTCCCCATGCTTGTGCTGTCAAATAAATTAAAAAAAAAAAATAGTCCAACTTATCACATATACAGAATGTTGCCCCTAAATCACCTAATCCGGGTGTAACTATAACTACCCAGATCTCTTTATAAGGAGAGATGCACATCCTGTAATCTAAGTATTTACGAGAGGCTCTGGAATCACTAGCCATCATCATCTACTGGGTGTTTAACTGAAACGAAAACTGCCAAATTTTATGGGAACCTTACCTCTTCTTCTCATGATCCAAATGAATGAAGACTTTTCCAGCCAAATTATAATTAATCACCACTTACAACCAGCTGTTTTGCCCTGTGAAGTCTAGGGTAGATTTTCAGCATGAGGGGTGATGTACAATAATTCCTTTCACAAACAGAAATATATGCACATGTCCCTGCTGAAAATGTAGCCTGGTAAATTTGCATGTGAAAATGAATCCATGTTATGTGTAGCAATGTGTTAGGTGATGTTTCTTGTTGAGGTCTACTTTAGGAGTCAAAATGTGTATGCCCTGTGAAGCCAAGGCAGCAGTCCTGTGTATAGAGGTATAGAAAAAGTAGCTCACTTAATCCTTTCTCGCCAGGAGTCGGGATTTTCCCGGAACGACATCCATTGTCGGCAATGGACGCACCAAAATAACGCCGGCGCCAGTGAGTTAACCACCTCTGTCCTCTTTTCACCTATTATATTTTTCATGCATCATCCAACTTCCCAACCATCTTCCTGTTTCTTCACAGAATGCACGCTAGGTTCTTGTTTTTCTTCAGCACGAAGTTGAAAATGGAGTTGAGAAAAGGAGACACATGGTCAGCTGGTGATGTTAACAAGCTCCTTGCTGCCCTGAGAAGCTAGATGGAAATGGTTCAAGTTACAAGGGGGATCATCATCAGATCTGGGAGGACAAAGAGTAATTCATGAAGCTTCATTCCCTTCCCTCCCACCCTCTCTCATTTACTGATGATCCCTATGGTCTGCCTTCACAGCAAAATCAAGATTAAGGATCTGAAGCAACCTCTTTCAGTTCTTCACTCCATCCAGTGTGTAGAAGGCCAAGTGGAACACATGTCCAACAATGTTACAGTGGCCCCAGAAGGTCAGGGAAGCTTGGAGTGGCTAACCACAATCTTAGATCAATGCTTTTTGGTATGATCTTGGAATTAACATCAGCAACTAACACAGTGCTTGGCAACAGGTGCTTAACAAAAGTTGGTTGAGTAAGACATTTTCTTTTCTGCCAACGTCTACTTGAACACATAGGTGGAAGTCAGACAGAAGTAGTTAACTCTTTCAATGCCGGGATAGTATGGGTGTATAGTAATCACATCAAGTCCATGTATTTATCTAAGACATGTTCATATTATGGGTTTCTGATTTCAATGTTCTGGTTAGATGCTAGCTAAAATATTTTATTTAAGGACAACCACAATCAGAGTTTTGGAATTAGAACCATGGTAAATGTTAATTAGAATGATAGATGAAATTAAGAGCCCCAGGACCAATGTGTAACAAAACATCACAGTTCAGTCAAGTGACAACCTCTTTCAGTATTGCAATTCTAGATGGGTAATGATTCCAGAGCAAACTAGAAGTCTGAAGAAGGAAAATCTTATTTAATGGCTTCCTTGATGGTAAGAATCAGGATAAATCCAAAGTATGAAGGTTAAGAAGGATATATTTTAAGTATGAATAAAATTTTAAACCTCAAGTCAAGAGGATCATCAAGCTACATAGTACTATGCAACTGCTTTGATCTTTCAGACAGGAGGAGGGAGGACAACAAGCAGGGGAAGAAATAATTTTGTAGGACTCAAAAATATCTAGAGTGTGAGTTTAAATGATCAGTTATAGCTAATTGAGTTAAGGATATCCCAGAGAGTAATTCATACCACTACCATGACAATAAAAAATTAACCATGTAGAGAAACAGAAGTATTTACTTTTTCTAGATTTTAAGAGACAGGTTTTTAAGAAATGATGATTATGTCTCGTTTTTAAAAATTATGTCAACCAGAGACTTAGTAGGCAAAAGTGAACTACTGGGTCTGCCCCCCACTCTTGCTCTATAAAACCATCTCTGTAAGGCCTTTTCTATGCCCACTCGTGTACGTTTTCATTCCCACCTTCCTTACGAAGCCAGTCATGTCAGAGGCTCTACTAGCAGTCTTGGAACACAAGAGGGACTTCTTCCAGACTCCTGTGCCCTCACAAAGCAGGCCTTAAATGAAGGTCCACCCAAGTGACCGTCCCAGCATCTCTTTCAGTTTAACTGCAATTTTGGTTCCTGCAGTTCACATGTCATATCATAACCAGATTTACTGTGAATCCTTCCTTTTACTAAAGTTTATAAAAAGGAAGGATTTCATAAGGTTTAATAAGGTTGAGTTAATGATAAACTGTAAGTGGTGAAAGAGTAGCATGAATAGGAGTTCAAATAGGTCAATGAGAGCTGAAACCACACAATACTTAAAGAAGGGTCTCAACACAGCAAATTACAAATGCCAAAAGTAAGCACAGTGCACAACCAACCAACTACTCATTTTGCTCAGTATAAGGCCAATTCTGTATGGGTCAAATCTCAGGATCTAATGGGTGAGCTTTGTAGTCATAATTGGGGACAGAGGATTCATATGTCCATCTTGCTACAAATAAACCTGTACTGCTGGTTTATCTGGTTGCTTCACTTCTGGCAGAAGAGAGGAACAGAAAAATAGAAGCTAGCAAGTAACCTGTTCCCACAGGGTCCTCAAGACCTGAATCCCAGATCCAGATCACTTACAATCAAAATGTAACACCTCTCTCCTAGGCTGGGTTTTCTACAAAGCAAACCCTACACATCTTGCTAAATTCTTTAACAAGAGATTATGTATGTATTAAGTGTAAGGGTTCCAGACCTCTCTATTTTTCCTCTAGATAACATCTTTTGTCCAAAGAAATAGGCATTTAAAGGCAGGCCTATTTCAGAAACAATAAAGGAACTGAATACCAACTAGCTCCATATAAAGTTGTTTTACTGGAACAGAAATTTATGTTTAATCATTTTTGATGAGAAGTTGCTAAATTACCTTGGTTTTCCAATTAACTTTTTAATTTTAATTTCTAGTTAATTCAATACATTAATTTCCAATCAATTTAAACATTTTTTTTCTTACCTAGAATCTTACAAAGAATTTTCAAACATAGAATATGTTTGTTACTCAAAGGATTTCTGGTTTTGTTTTTAATGTAAAGAGCACTTGAATAACTGAATTCACTACTGTGATATGCTTTTCTAAATGAAGAAAAGGGACATCTGTGTATTAGTTTGGCTGCTGTATATCTTGCTAAGGTTTAAAAGATGTTTGAGACATTTATAATCAGCTGTCAGTAAGAGACATGGTATTCCATTTTTCAAATACATGTATAGCTAAAAAAGTAGGCAATTCAGCTTAAGATTTGTGGAACTCTAGACCTGAGTAATTCAGGTTAAAATAAAAATGTTTTCTTACCTTTAGGTCTTTCCAACTATCCAGGAGCTTGGTGGCCAAATCACTTATATCTACTGTTTTATCTGGCTGTTCCTGGCTCCTCTCACTCTCCACATCAGATACACCCTCCTCTTCATCTTGGGACGGGGTTTCCTCAGCAATGGTTTCTTCCAGTTTTGTGCCATTGCCCTCTTTGGGCTCTATTTCAGTGTCAGCCTCTGGTTCAGATGTAGGTAGCTTACTGGCTTCCACAGCGATTTCACTCTCAACTTTAGATTCAGGTAGCTGTTGTGTGAGTAGCTGTTGTGACTGTAACTCTTCCTCTTCTTCTACAGGGACGTTTTCTAACTGGTCAAGGTCCTCTTTGCCATCCTTGCCTTCCAGCTCACTGGTAGCATCAGAGATAGCACTGTCCATGCTATTTTCACTTATAATTTTAAGTCTGCGAAACATGAGCTTCTTGGGGGTGTCTGTGTCAGCTTCTGTGCTCAGCTTGGCAGAAGGATCAGGTGTGTTGAGTGGTGTGTGAGCCCGTGACGTATTCTCACTTGAATACCCATCTCCTTCACTCAACTGAGGAATGGCAGTTTTGGTCTGAGACCAGCGTTGAATAATTGGAAGTACTTTGCTTTCCTCCAACATATTTTTAGTAGGAATGGGTAAGTGTTCCAAAGTCTTTATAATCTGATTAAACACAATAAAAAAAAAAAAATCACATCACTTTACAGAGTTGACTTTTCAAATCTCTGGTTGGGACTCAGATCATTTCTGAAAGAGCTGTGGGTTTTCTTTACTGTCTTATTAAGACTGAAGTCTCTGTAACTATAGAAGGATTAAATGTCGTAATATTATTTTCCTCTAGAAAGGAAGGAAAACTTTTTAAAGACTGACCAGCAAGAATAAAATGTGGAGCAGGTAACTGCTCACAATATCAAACAGGACTGATTAATATCCTCTACCAGTAGTTCTCAAACCTGTGTAGATTTTTTAAAATATATATACTAGTGGACCTCATCCTGGCTATGTTTTTCTGAAAAGTTTTCCAAGTGACTGCAATATAGGCTTGGGAACTATGCAACAACATATATTTAAATGATGTTTCACCCACAAAAAATGCAGCTATTACTTACCTCTTTTAGCCTCTGATAAACAACTAACAAAGAAAGACTCTCTTCAGAGATAACCACCCCCTCCACTCTGAAATCCAAGAATTTATTCCAAAGTACTCCCCAATGTAGTTCTACAGAAATCCCAAGGTAGGCTGTTCCCCTCTAACTTTCTAGATGGGATGCTGAATTCATTTAATCATTAATCATAGAATCATTTACTAATGTCAACTAGATCTTTACAAAAAGGAAAGGGGTGGTGGGACGAAGGGAGGAAGGGAGGAAGAAATTCCAAGTCTTCCTCAACTTCTATTTGTTGCCAAATCTCCTGTGAGAAGAACAGAGGCAAGACAACCACTTATTTGCTCATTCCTGTTTTTGTTTTTAAAGTGCATTATTAAATGACTTTGGTACTATATTAGAAACTATGATTAAATAGAACTACATTTAAAGATTTTTTTTTCTTTTTATTTATTTATTTATTTGAGAGAGAGAATGAGATAGAGCATGAGAGGGGGGAGGGTCAGAGGGAGAAGCAGACTCCCTGCTGAGCAGAGAGCCCGATGCGGGACTCGATCCCGGGACTCCAGGATCATGACCTGAGCCGAAGGCAGTCGCTTAACCAATTGAACCACCCAGGCGTCCCTAAATAGAACTACATTTAAACTAGGTTAAAAATACTATTTCATCGGAAGGTATAAGTATCTCATCTCCACTAATGACACTGCCAAGGAACATTTATTTACATCTTTAAAACACTTATTGACTCCTCAAAATATTCTTACTCTTGCCATTCCAAAATTTGGCTCTCCACTTTTTTAGAGCCCCAGAATTTAAGTTTCACATGGTTTCCTATCTGTTTGAAACTATGGCTTTAGCAACAAACTGGATCTTTCCCTTAACTATGATATGATATCTTGCTCTTGCAACTCCCAACCATGCAGTATCAATTATAGGGATACTACAGGAAAAACCAGGGAGCAAACTCACTACTAGCAAGGTCTATGTAAAAGGTTATAGTTACAGGAATGATACTGAGATGATAATATTTATTCAATACCAGTGGTAAATATAATGCTAAATTCACTATCACTGATATTACCACTCAACCTAAGCAATCTATATAGCGGTTTTAAGAAATAAACAAGTTGAATGTGAACTGACCTCTTCCTGAAGCTTCTGGTTACTTTCCCGGCCATCACCTAGTTCTGCCATCCAGATCCATAACAAAGACAGCCCGTGACGTTCCAGAAAAGACTTCAGGCAAGACTGTGAATGTGTGTTCTTCCATGGGGGAAGGGAAGCAGGATGCAGGGTATTGGGGTGGGGATGGGTGGGGTGGGGTGGGGTGGGCAATACCAGACAGAACATTAAAAAGGGTCCACAGAGAGGAATAAAAAGTTTGCTTATATTCACAAGACACCTAGGAACTCTGTGATTAATGCAACTAAAAGTGTACACAAATAATAAATGCTTTAAAGTAAGAGACTGTAACCTTTTTTGATACCTAAATTGTATCCAGTCAACTTGGACTTTATATAAATAGACTTTACAGAAAAACATATAAATATCAATATGTCATTTACAATGAAATTCAATTCTGAAGGACTATGAGGCAAATTACATTCACCATTTTTATTGAAAAACCTAAAACTATAATAGTCTAAATCATTTTCATTTCTTTTTTTTTGAAGATTTTTATTTATTTATTGACAGAGAGAGAGAATGATAGAGAGCATGAGAGAGAGGAGGATCAGAGGGAGAAGCAGACTCCCTGCTGAGCAGGGAGCCCGATGCGGGACTCGATCCCAGGACTCCAGGATCATGACCTGAGCTGAAGGCAGTCACTTAACCAACTGAGCCACCCAGGCGCCCCTCATTTCTCTCTTCTTTTCAGATGCTTGTTCAAAAGGCTTTTTTCTCTTAGTTTTCTTTTAAATCATCCATTTTTTACTGTTCAAGTTCTTATGGCATACTCAATAAACTGGAGGAAATGAGACTGCCATTAAAATTCCTTGCTTCAAGATCCTGTGGTAAAAATGGCCTTGGCATACTAATAATCATGGGGGGGGGGGACTGTATCAAATGTCATGAATTGTTACACAAAAAAATCTCACCATGTTCTTTGACTAGACAGAGAATGCAAACAAGATCTATTAAAAAACTAAATGATGCTGAATTCTTAAGCCATTTTTAAGACTACAAACTTTCAAAGTCATATAGAATTCACAAACTCTTATTTTAAAGAGTAACTCTTCTCAGAGTTATCCCTTCTCCTGTCATCATTCTAGATTGTAGTTTAGATGCCCCACCTCAAATTCAGAAATAAAAAATAAATTGATATCAAGGAACTCACCTGTATAAGCTCAAGACAGGTGAGTTTCTGCTCCAAAGTTTCAATTCTAACCATTAGCCGGGATAAGCTAAGCACCTGGTTTTTATCAGAGAGACCCTCACCATTCTCCATCAGAGCTTCTAGCTCTCCATCCACCTGCCATAGCAAAGAAAAGTATCTGGTTATAAAAACAACAACAAACACACCACTAATCTAAGAATCAAACAACCTAAAAAAGATGCTCAACCTTGCCAGTAATAAGGAAAACACAATTAGACCCACAGTGAGAAATCATGTCATATTTACTAGATCTAGGGGAAAAAATTAAGTCTGATAATATCAAGTCTAGGCAAAGATGTGGATCAAAAGGAATTTTATATACTGTTGATGAAAGTAGAAATTGGTATGATCAATTTGAAAAGCATTTCATTCACTCATCAAATATTTACCAAGTACTTATTATATGTCAAGTATAATCCTAGGTGCTAAAGTCACTGCAATGAACCAAAACAAACAGAAATCTGCCCTTAAAGGAGACAAAGAACAAAATAATGTTAGGTGAAAAGTATGCCAGAAAAAATAAAGCACTGGCTTCAAAAATAAAATATTTGTGCCCCCTATGCCTAGCATTGCACACCTAAGAATAAATCCTAGAGAAACTTCTAGACATACGTATTCACAGAATTATACCAAGCTCACTGAATGACCATTATAACAGCAAAAAACTACTAACAGATGTCTGTGGCCAGGTTGTATAAAGTAGCATTTTCATAAAATGGATTATTATAGCACAGTAAAATGAATCAAGTGCAGCCATATACAAGATTCATCAATCTTATAAACATAATGTCACATGAAAAAAGTTCCAGAAGATTACATGCTGTATGACTGTTTTATAAACCTCAAAAACAAAATTTTCATAGATGCATGTCTAAAAAATTGATTTTAAAAAGGCATAGAGGTAAGAAACAAAATTCAAAACAGTGGTATCCTCTAGGGGCTAAGCAGGGAGCAGGAAGGAGAGAAGTGCTCACAAGTGGTTCTTTTATAATTATGCCTTGTAACTTACATCTATTCTCTGGATGTTTCAAATATTACATTTATTTGTTTGTTTTAGATTTTATTTATTTATTTGACAGAGAGAGACACAGCAAGAGTGGGAACACAAGCAGGGGGAGTGGGAGAGGGAGAAACAGGCTTTCTGCCGAGCAGGGAGCCCAAAGTGGGGCTCGATCCCAGAACCGTGGGATTATGACCTGAGCCAAAGGCAGATGCTTAACTGACTGAGCCACCCAAGCAGCCCTCAAATATGGGGAAACAACAACAAAAAACCCACCAATGGTTGTTTTCCAGCTGTGTTAGAAAATATATAAAGATGCCTTACAGAACTTACTATTGGGGAGATAAAATTAATTCATATGAAAACAAACAATGAAGCATTAACTGTAAAATGTTAAAAAAAAAAAAAAAAACTACAAAGGAAGGGAGTGGTTAGAATGAGAGTCACCAGAAGCAGGGTTAGCAAGAGGTAAGATAAAGGAGGGAGTGAAGTAGAGGGAAAATCTCAAACACAGGGAAATGGAAAATTATGATAGTGCCTAGTGTGGGGCCTGGCTGGAGCGGATAAGGTGTGGTGAGGAAGTGAGAAAAAGGGATGCCTGGGTGGCTCAGTTGGTTAAGCGTCTGCCTTCGGCTCAGGTCATGATTCTGGAGTCCCAGGATCAGTCCCGCATCGGGCTCCCTGCTCAGCAGGGAGTCTGCTTCTCCCTCTGACCCTCCCCCCATCATGTGCTCGCTCTCTTTCTCTCTCTCAAATAAATAAAATCTTTAAAAAAAACAAAACAAAACAAAAAAAGGAAGTGAGAAAAACCTCACCAAAAGGAAGGCTGGTGTTAGATCAGAAGATCTTGAAGGTGATACGTAAAAGAACCTATATTTGACGTGACTGAGCAAGAGAGCTCTATTACTGAATCCAAAAAAGGGGAAAAATCTGATCAAAATGGAATTTGAGAATAATTAGTGTGGCTATAACAGAATAAACTCTCCACAAGACAGCAACCAATGCAGAAGAGATATAAAGACCGCATTAAACCAACATGGCCTGAAATGATAAAAGTCCAGAATGGGCTGATAATAAATTAGAAGAAAGCAAATCTGAAAGACAAGAATCTTAAGGAAACTTTTTGTTACTTAGCTTATCATCTCAATATAATTTTAGGCAAGGCACTGAACATTTTTATATTATACCACAAAACTCACATGACTCTAAGGAACAAAAAAAAGAAAAATGAAATGCTACCTGCAAGAAGCTGAAGAAATGTAAACTCATTTTTTCCTTCTAAAATGTACACTTAAGGCTCATCTCTTTTTCATTTCCAGTATCAATTCTTATGTTTTTTTAAAGATTTATTTATTTGACAGAGAGTTAGTGAGAGAGGGAACACAAGCAGGGGGAGTGGGAGAGGGAGAAGCAGGCTTCCCGCCGAGCAGGGAGCCTGACATGGGGCTCAATCCCAGGACCCTGGGATCACGACCTGAGCCGAAGCCACCCAGGCGCCCCTCATTTCTTATGTTTTGAAGAGATTAAGGCTATACACAGAAAAACCAATTTATGGTTAAATATTAATCCAAGACAAGTTCCTTAAAGATGTTTTATCCCTGCATATACTAAATGTAAAACTTCCTGTGTCTCAAATTCTAGAGGATTAGAATAGGAAAGACCAAGGGCTTTAAAATTCCACTTTCCCCCCAGATGCAACAGCCTCATTTTGGACAGAGTTTTGAGATGCAAATACTACTGGGCTAAGAGATGGGGTTTTCTGGGGTGCCTGGGTAGCTCAGTTAAGCCTCTGACTCTTTTTTTTTTTTTT